TAATAGTGAAATGGTAAATAGTTTAAAAAAAAGTGTGCAAATGTTTATGTTGAATTGAATATACATATATATTTTTTTTAAAATAATTTCCCCTTTACTCTTTGATCAGTGAATCGTTTTTCTTCAGTACGAAAATGCAGCAGGGTTGCATAGGCTACAAGGCTCACTCTTTCTATTACAGCTTTTGAAAAGCATAAAGTATGGACGCGCTTAGCAGCAAAATGTTTTTCTTTTATGGAATTTATTATTTAAGTTAAAATTTTTATAATTTTTAATTGTTTAATATGAAAATTTGAATTTATTGTTTTTCCTTTGTTTCGAAGATAAAATTTTATAAATTTATAAAAAGTGAAAACAGTTTCATTAACTAAAATCAATATTGCCAGGATTAAAGGGAAGTTAAAATACCAAAAAATATTTTTGTCTATTAAAAATTATAAACATTTTAAGAACTGTTACGCTTAAGGATTTTTTTTTAATTTTACCAACTGTTATTTTATTAACTTCAATAAGCCATTTCTTTTTGAATCGGTTGCAAAATGTAAGAAGCCATATCGGTTTTGAAAATATCGAGTCTCTCATGCCGCTGCGCTCCATTCTTACTTTGCGCGTAATAATATGAAAATTAACTCAAGAAACAGCTCCTCCCTCTTTCTGTCACACTGCTCTTTCTTTCAAACAATGGAACACCAGATACCCTGTATTATTGGTTGACAGTTACCGAAATGTGTTTGTGGCGTGCATGTTCATCAATTGATTTTCTGAACTTCTGAACTTCTTCACTATTTCACTTTTTGCTATTTATTTAAGAGCGTTTATGTATGAATAACTTTAATCGTGTATTATGTAACTTGGGGCATAAATAATTCTAGGTTATGTTAGGTTAGTTGTGTTTTTATTGCATGTGGATACTTGAATCGTTTATTTGCTTTTATAGTATATATGTGAATTATTTTAATTCCGATTTTACATTACGCATTTTTATTAATTATTGATTAGTCAATTGTATTTAGGGAAATTTTTATACATATAAATGTATATGCATATACTGATGTGGATATTGTGTCGCATTTCCGCAATTTGCTCGCATTTTCACCGCGCTGCTTGTTGTCAACTCACTTTNCTGTCTCTTATACACATCTAGATGTGTATAAGAGACAGCATATATATATATATATATATGTATCTATAAGAATTATATGTTGCTTTGAAGGTTTTATTACTTTTATATGTATTCGCTTACTTTTGTAATATTTTAAAAGTTTCCTTATTTGTTTTATACTATATAAATATGTGACACTGATCTTTTCATCGTTAAGCTTAATTTTTGCTTTACATGTCTTCATTGTTTATAGTGGCTTTCTTATGGGAAATTGTTTTTTCTTTTGTTTTTATTAAAAATACATTAATATAAAAGCATAATGTGATGTTTAATTAGTTCGTTGCCGTATTTTATGATATTTTGTTGGTTCACTTAACCCAGTTTATTGGTTTGTATGCATTTTGTTGCTGCACTAAACGCAGTTTTTACTTTATTTACGCCTTTTTCTTTTGAATTATTGTAATTTATTTTTTGTAAATATTATCTACACGTCCTAACATTACTATATTTTTTTGAAATAAAAATACGCCTAACTCATAGCTTTTACTTTAAGATAATATTTTGTTTTGTATTGCCAACAATATTCATATGTCTAATGCATGTTTTTAAAAAAATCATTTTTTTTTTTTAAATTTCAGAAATGTTGAAGTTTATATATATAAAATTAAATTTGGGAAATTTAGTTGCAAAACACTCTCAAACATAATATTCTTTTTATTTACGCACAAGTCGAAATATTTCAACTTCAGTTAAGTTACAAAATATATTTATATAAATTTTAATACAATATACAAACAAATTTCCGAAACTTTGTCATAAACTATAAAACTTAATACAGACAAAATTTTTTTTAATTAATTAGTGTTTTTGTATTTTCGGTTATGTTTAAAACTTTATATTTATATTTTTTTTTACACACAACATGTCAACATTACACAATAATGCCACATGCTGCCGTCTACTCCGGCACAAAATAACCCGCTGTCGGCTATTTTTTCTTAAATTGCATCATATAATTGTAAAGGTTTTTTGTTTTTGTATTTTCTTTTGTAATTTTTTTACTACATATGCATTATCAATTAATTTTTGCCCATTATAATCGTATAAGTTTGCATATACATACATACTTGCTAAATCATGTATAATTTTTAAGAATTTTCAATTGTCAGTCATTTTTTTCGCCAAGCTTTGCTTTTTGAAATTTCAAAGTAAATATTTTTATTTGTTTAATATATTTTGCAAATTTGCATTCTACACTCAAGACGTATATGTTTGTGTTCAAATTTAAGACGCTTTATTTAAAGTTTTACTACTCTTATATGTACTTATATATTTTTATAATTTTTCATATATATTTTTTTAATCACTCGGCAACATATTTACAAATTTGTGTGTTTGATACATATTTTGAGAGGTTCTTGCTGTAAAATATTATCTGTTAGAATTTATATTTTTAATTGTTTTTGCTTGTCTGCGCTTTGTGTATAATTGTGTATAAAAAGTGCGTGTCGAAATGGCTTTTTTAACAGTAAAATGATACGTTAGCTGTATTTGCCGACAACTGGGCACCATAGAATATAAGATTTTAATTTTTTTACCATTTGTTGTTTTAATAAAAGAAATGAGAATTTTTATGGCGTTTAAAAGTTTTGTTGTTGTTATTGTTGCATATGTATGCAATTAAAATGCGCAAAGCAGCGAAAAAACGTAAGAGTAGCTGTTAAAAATTGTCTTGCGGTTGTTTTTGCAAATATATTTTTCATTTTCTATTTTGCTTTCTTCAGCGTCGAATCAGACTACTAATTTTATTTTAAAATGTATGCATTTGCACATGCATTTTTTACATAATTTCCTTTTTAATTGCGAAATTTACGGACGTGTATCTTCAAATGTGTACTGCTCAATGATTTAGCTATTTTTTTTTTTTAATTATTTTTGTTAATTTTATTTTTACTAATTTTCGCAATAGAGAATCATTGTTTTCATTTATGTATAATTATTTATTATGTATGTATATATAAATTATTATTGTTTTTCTAATTTAAAATAACACCGTCTGCTATTCAACGTGTATACAAATATATTTACGTAAGTGTGTTTGTATGTCTGTTGTTGTTTGCGGGCTGCAAATACAACTCCTGTATTCTCTAAGTGGTTGCATACATATACATATGCACATATGTGGAAAGTTACCTACATACATATTTATACGTAATTTTTTATTTTCTTTGCTTTATGCCTTTTTATTGACTTTCGCACTGACTGCCGGTTATATTGACTTCCTAAAAAGGAAATTTTTGAAATTTTTAAGATTTTCGGCAACTTTAAACATTTGCACCGGTTCATTGTCACCCTACGCTTCCTAATTTGCTTTGCAGTAAATATTTTAATGCACTTTTGCATACAAATGTAGTAAATATACACATATGCACACACATACATACATATGTATGGTTGTTGTTGTTGTTGCAGTATGTCTATCGCATTTTACAAGGGTTATGACCTGACAATTTGTTGCACTTTCCTTATGATGGTATGCAATATTATTGTTGTTGTTGCTGTTGCATTTTATTTGGGATAAACTGCTAAGCTACTTGTTTTTATTTACATGCATTTAAAATTTTCAATTACGTTGTTGTTATTATTGTTGTAACATATGTTTACATCTTTTTGTATTTACGGCTTAAAACTTTGTAATATGTAGTCAAGAGTTGTTGTAGTATTTGTTGTTGTTTTTATTCAGTTTATTATATAGTTTTTGTTGTTGTTGTTATTATTGCTAATGTAATCGCTTCTGTAATGACTGCTACTTGATGTGGTTTTCATTTTATTGTTGTTGTTATTGTAATATGCGCTTCTTGTTGTTGTTTGTTTTTGTTTTTTTTGTAATATTATTATAATTATTTAAGCCCAATTTGGAAATGTATCTGTGTACCATTGCTCGCCATTGGTGCCCAGTGGTTGTTGTGGTAACGGTATACTGCCCCAACTGCCATTTCCGATTAAACCGCTCGGGTAACGTCGCTTTATATCTGCAGGATTTTGGTGACCTCCATCGAATTTACGTTTACCGACTACTGCACTCGTCAAAGGTCGGATGCGCATGTGTGTGTGTTTGTGCGTGTAATTGCACACAATTGAGAAAATTGGTGGTTGCCATATTGTTGTATAGAATTTGCGGAGTTTTTATCGTCGAAATATTTTTTTTTTTTTTTTTTTTTGTAAGAGTGTGTGTGTTTTTTTTATTCAAAGAGAAAAGAGAAAAGTAAATGGTATTATTTTATGTTTATAAAAATTTCTTAAGTGTGTATATGAACAATTCGAAACTTTATTTTTGACCTGCTCAATGCATCTTGACAAAATTTTTTGATAGTTTAAAATCCGTTTCCATACAAACATCGATTATTTCTTTTATTTTTGTTTATTTAATGAATGGAAATTCGTAAGCAATCTATGCCAAACTAGGTCCAACTTTGCATTTGACACTGAAAGGTGTCGGGATAAATTTTTTGTTTCATTTTAGAAAATAATTTATTAAAAAATGTTAGACTAAATTTCATTTCCATTCATAAATCGGCTTGCCTTACTTATGTAATTTCTTGCAATATTCATATTCCCAATTAAGAAAAAAAATAAATAATAATTAGGTACATAAAATATACATACATTACAGTTGGGTATTTAGAAATAATTACAACAAATAACAAAAAAAAAAATATATTACAAAAAGGGCACTAATAAATCAACGGTGGCAACCTGTATGGGAATGAAAATATATTGCATATATGGTTTCGATGTAATCTGGTAAGCGGTTTTGGGCAAGCGGAGTAAAACATTAAAAGAAAAGTAATTAAATAAAAAAATACCTTCATTGTATTTTAATATTGTATCATTACACAAGAAGAAATTTATTTCCAGAATTTGACAAAATTTTGCATTATACAAAATGGTTTTTTGTTTTTCTCTCTTCAAAAGGAAATTATATGATAGAAAATTTACAACATGTGAAGTACGAGTATTCAAAAAAAAAAAAAAAAAAAAAAAAAAAAAAAAAAAAAAAAAAAAAAAAAAAAAAACAATCAACGAACATAGTAAATGACAAAAAACAAAATACAAATAATTATATGAGTATATTATTACACATACATATTAAAATTATATATGCATACTATATCTAGATAAATGAATCAAGTGCAGATATACAAAGATGATAGCTAATTGAATGATAAAGATAGATAGTTAGCGGCAGTAGTAGAGTGAGAGAAATGTAAAGAATATTGGCAACGTCGATAGTCGTTGAGGTTAGAAATTCGCTTGGACTGAGGACGCTTCTTTAAAACATTCTCGAAGCAAAAGTATATATAGAAAAGTCGCGCTCATTTGGTTTTTGGTTGGGTTCCCTTGTTTCTTGTTTTGTAATGTTTATTTGAAATATTTATCCAACAAGAGTGCTAGCAAATAATTAGATTTTGATTGAAGTTCTTTGCTTGGGGTTTTTAACGGACATCAGTGTTTACTTTTTGTTTGAATTTCGTTTGTATTTGAAATATATTTTGCGCACATAAATCGTTTGATTGAAGTTTGTAGCTAACAAATGTCAAATTTCAATTTAGCGTAAATATGAATAATTGCTTGCGCTGGTATTTTTGTTCATTCATGCGTTTGATTTGGTACTGATTTTACTTGTAGAAATTCTATATTTTTTGTCAATTATTTTCATTATTCTTCATCAATTATGCAAATAAATTTTATTTCACTTGTAGTCGGTAATTATTATTGATGTTCAAATTTTTACGCATGTACTCCGATGGATGCTAAGAAAACACCGTTTTTTCCGGTGCAGAAGAGAGGAAGAAAATTTGAAAAATGAAATTTAATGCAGCGATGAACATAATACTGAAAACACATATACAATAGCGCTAAATAACAGTAAACTATGCTACTGTGTCTAGCAAACCAAATTTCTACAAATATGTTTTAAATAAATGAAGTATATTTTTAGGTTATTGTTTTAGGTATTTAAATTTCTTTCTGCCAAGAAAGAGTGGGTGGCTCCATTGACGCCCTGTCATATTATCTCGTTTTCGTTATTGATTTATTGCGCTTTAGTGTGAGCGGGCTTAACATCTGATTTTATCCATTTTCACACTGTCGGTAGGAGTTCTTATAATCTTTGCAATGGTTGAATTGGGTGGGTCGTTGAAGAGATGTATACATTAATCTTATTAGAGGGCGATGCTACGTCCACTTTTTCAATACTTTATTACAGGAGCCCCTGGCTACTCCGATCTCATGTGCCAAATTACAGTTCTGTATCTTAATTTAATGCTTCGGATAATATCGTTTTGTGGGCGTGTCAGTTACCTATCTATGAACTTGTCCTTACTTTTTTGCCAAGGAACACGTCTACCAAGTTTCATCAAAATATCTCCATATTTACTCAAGTTACAGCGAAGGAAGGACGGACGAACAGTTAGACAGTTAGCGTCATTTTTTCTTGTTTTGTTATATGGTATTGATCATTTCTGTATCTTGTATATACGTCTATCTCGCTTAGTTTCAGGCCATACGTACAACCGTAAGGTGAACGAAATGATTATACTTTGTAGCAATATCGCAAGAGTATAATAATAAAAAAACTATAAAATTCGTTTATTCAAAGATCCAAAATAAGTGATTTGAACAATTTCAGCACGACTTCATAAATTAATGTCAACCATCTAGTCTAATTTTAGGCTAATTATACATTTCATATTTAAATTGAATTTTTCCGTATGAAAAACAAGATTTGAAGAAAAAAAATTCGATCTGTTACAAATTCGATCAGAAATGGAACTTTTAAATATACCTCTAAAAAGAGATCAAGATCTTTCAAATAGCCAAACATTCTTAAAACAACTGCAAAAATAACAATATCAAAAATGCTTATTGTTAGGGTATTTCCAAAGCATTATATCAAGGTAAGCGAGACTATGAAATTGCGGGAGCATTATCCAAAATCTGGTCGAAATCGCTTCGACCTTTAGGCTAGTTATCAAAAAAAAAAAACATTCACACTTCATAGCATGATATATTGACGTCTTGAAATCATGAGCCCACAAAAATTATTAGAAGCTTTAATTTATTTCAGTCAAAAGAATCTACGACAAAGTACGGCAAACACTGTTCCAATTCTAAGATAAAACACTTATGAGAAGCACAGAGCACAAATATCATATAACTTAATGCAATTACAACAACAAAAATACTAACTTCTAATGATTAAGATGCAATTGAAATAATAAAATAAATATATATGTATTTACAATACCATATGAATGTGTATATGTGTGTGTGATGTTTATGTATATATGTATGTCTATAATTTATATACATATAAACTAAAGCTTAATGCAAAATAACGAATCGATTAGTATTTTCTCATAGTATTTCGATATAATTATTCCATAGTAGTATGTATGTATGTATGTTGATTTGCGCGCAAAACAAGATGAATACATACATTATAAAATATATTAAATGTATGTATATGCACAAACATAATTGCTTAAGATAATTCTTGAACTAAAACAAAAAACGAGCATTATTTCATAAATTCTGTTTCTGAAAATTGTGTAGCGAAGAGAATTGTGGTAAAGGTAGTAATGGTAGCAGTGTTGCATTTTTGTTTTGTTAAGTTTATGATTTTTATAAAAAAGTAACAATTGTTAGCTGTGTAAAAACTGAGTGTGGCATGAATATTTGATATTAGAATTGTGAGCTTATAAATATATTTTAATGAAGAGAATAAATCAAACACACAATTTTATATTTATTTACTAAAATATTTGTATTTATTTACTAATTATTAGCATTAATCGATTGAAACTCGCAAATCGAAAGGTGGTTTCGTTAGCTTTCGAAATTTACAAGACATTTTTTTATTAATTTACTTTTTTTTATTAAACTTTGTGTAATCGCAACACGAAATTACTTTTTTTTTAATTTGCGTGCTCGAGTTTATATAAAATTTGTTTTTGTTGCTTAGTGTTAAATTTTAAGGTTATGCATAGATAAATGTGTAGTTATGTTAAAATATATTTATTTCCATTAATATCGATATTAGTTTTCTAATCTCTATGGCTGGTACTATTAACGCGGTAAAGTTGTCGGAAGAAAGGCGTTTTGAAAATCTCGGTAAATATGATTCGAATATTACCTTAAGGACTGGATTTGTAGATTACGTAGATCCGACTCTCCTAACAAATTTACCTATATTGATCTCCTTCTTTCCTTTTTTTTCTTTATTCTTACTAAACCTTCTACAAAACACATAATTTAACTAGTTCTGGTCTTTGTTAGTCCAGTCATAATTGGCACCGCTGATACGACATTCGCTATGATATTCGCTCAGCCTTATCACATAAGTACGTGTTTCAAGAAAATTGCATTCAATATTATGAAGAGAATTTGTCTATATTTTGGAAAACCTAGAAAAAGCCATATTTTGGCATGAAGAAATACATATTTTAATTATATATGGACTTCTTTTCTCGGGGAGCATTTTTCGGAACACTGGTATTGTATGGTATATATTTCCTAGAAAGTTGGATATACTGCTTCGAGAGTATAAAATACTCGTATAAGCAGAAAATGTAAAGCCTGTATAAAAGAAAATAATCTAATTAAACTTCCTCCTCAGAAGGGACTTTGAGCACAAAGAACATTTCAGTTATTTATTAGATAACATGAGAATTTTTCACGGTTAGCATATTTTTAGAACACTAAAGGTACCTAATCGTGCATATTGCCTGGAAAGTTTGGTATACTACTTGGAGGGTATAAAATAAATAGTAGTCATCTCTCTCCTGTATTTATGATAAGAAAAATCTTTTATTAAACTTCCTCATCATCTCGGGAGTTTGAGCTTGAAAAACATTTCAGTTGTTATTCATTGGACAACATAACAACGAAAGTCTTACCAACAAGATGTACCAGGATGAATTTAATTTTTTTTTTAATTATATTGTATCGCTTTTCCTATCTTGTCAGAGACCCGAATAATCAGACAGTGTTAATTGATTTAAATTCGCAAGCGATGAGCGTGAAACGTTTAATATGCTAATGTGTGGGAAATGATATTTTAAAAATTATTATTATTTTTAAATTATTTTAAATATTTATATTATTATTGTAACAAATCACTACACTATATAGCACTGTGTGTTTCTTGACTTACTTCTTTCGGCTTTTCAGTGTCAATTTTTTTTTCTAGAAACTACAAGTAGTTTGCCGTTTACAACAAAGTCAATTTTTTTTTGCCTTACTGTAATGTAGTTATTTTATGTATTGTTAGTAGTATGTATGTATGTTTGCATGTCAAAAAATATTTCGAATCAATACAAAACAAATATCGAATCTTAAAAAAATTATATATACACGTCAATTGGAGAAAGAGGAATTTTGTACGGTGTTTGGTTTGAATTTTTTTGGGTTTATGCTTTTGCATATATTACTCATATATGAAATGCCGTTTGTCTTAGGATATTTTTTGATAACAAATAACCGTTAAAACTGTATGCCGGGTGGTTGTGTTTTTGCTTGATTGTTGTTCGTTCTTTTCATTGTTTCGAATGTGTTTTAATTTATATATTTATTGATTTTTTCATACTTTTGAAAACCGATTTCAATTTCGCATGTAACCGTGCATGGATAATATACATACATATGTATATCGTCACCAAAAATGTAAAATAAAGTAACATCCCTTTTCATAAGTTGACAGGCGAAGGAAAAACGATGAAATAGAAACCACTCACATGAAACAAAATATGAGCTTTGGTTGTAAAATAGTTATATATTGGTTATAAAGTGGTTATCGATTGGTTATATATTGATTATATCTGACAGCGGTAGCTTAAAATTTATTGCTACATATATATTATATAATGTAGTGAATCGTAAACAATAAAAAAACTCAATTCCTTTTTTGATGATACGTTGTTTTGCATTTTAGGTGACGATATGTAATATACATATGTATTGAATTTTGAACTTATATGCATAAGGACACGATATAACTAAAAAATATGTACACATAACATATTCGAGCACATATTAAGAAATTTAAATTAAATAACCGTTAAGAGTGGTGGACCAAAAAACAGTGTTCAGCGCTACAGATTTGAAAACATGGATAACAAAGTAGACACCTGAAGTAATGATTACACATACATCCAAAAGTATGTGTTTGTGTGTGTGGCATATTTTTTAGGTATACGGTATTATTTCTGACTATTAAATACTAATCGATTCATTACTGCCTTTTTCACCAAACAAAAAATGAAGAGAGTACGAAGAGAAACAAAAAAGCAACGAGTATAAGTAAATTAAGAACATACAGGGTGTGTATGTTGTTTTTAGAAATGAATGTGCCGTGGTTGGGTCGCTGAGTTATTGTAGTTTTTGCTTATGCGCCTTCCTTGCAAAGCTGCCAAAAATGCAGTTACATATAAACAACAGCCGAGCATTTTTTTCACACTAACAACGAGCATTACGAAGTGGCGAAAATATTATTTGACTATTATTTTTTAACATACTAACTGCAAGCAATACGAATGTGTCGAATACATTTGTGTACATACATACATGTCTAAATTTGCAAACTGCATGCAGGGCATAATATGTGAAATATTTATATGACATAGAGAGAGAGCGATAGAGAAAGGGAGGTATGGAGTATGCTAAAAAAGTAGTAGACACAGAAAGCTTAATCGAAGCTCAATCGGCACACACATACATATGCAATTTTATGAAGAAAACTACGCTCGTGTAGCTGTGCTTTTGGACGGTAGTGTAATAAGGTGCAGACACGGCCGCAATCACTGCAAAAGAACGCACAAGTTTTGCGCCGAACCCAACCGGCAACCCAATGAAACCGTCGGTCGTACTACAAATACGCGCTTTTTAAATTAAGAGAAAGGGAAATAGCGTAACAAACAACAAACGAAAAATGGTGCGATTCTCTACAAACCATTTTTGACAGACCACAAAAAAAAAAAAACAAGCAAAGTAGATATTTCATAGTAGGACTACGAGAAAGAGAGCACACAAGTAGTAGTTCGAGTGCGAGAGCGCAAGTCTCATATTTATTTAAATGTTTTTTCTTTCTTACAAAATGCGAACAAAATACAATATTTTATTTACTTATTTAAAAATTGATTGTGTGTTATTATTAGAACAACAAATTATTCATATATCAGTAAACGACTATATCAAGAAATTAATTAATTATTTAATGTAAAGTACTAAAATTATGCATAAAATAATTACAATTTGCAGATTATATAATGAATAAAATTTCAACTATATTAATATAATAATTCACATTACTAAAAATTACTTTGACAACAAGAGAGATAGAGTGAGAGAGAAAATATATAGATTTACACAAATCATACAGCATACATATGTATGTGGGTATTTTTGAAGTATTGAAACTTAAGAGCGAGTCAGATCAAAGAGCAAGGGGGTTGGGGGTGTCGGTGCGGGTGCACACGAGGAAAAAGTAATTATTTAATTTAAAATATAAAAAATATGTCAAATTTAAGTTCAAGGGTACGAATTTCAAAAACTATTGGTAGCGAAATTGTAAAATGTGTTTGTGAAAATATTCAAGAAAAGAAGAAAATAATATCAAACTTGTATTTAGCAACTATTGTTTAACTTAATTACAAGAAACAGTTACAATATATGTATGTATATATATGTTTAGCAATAATTATGATAACAGTAAACTTGGTTTTGTTTTTGTTTTTTTTTTAAACTAATTAATTAACAATAGAGTAAGTGTTACTAGTACGTATGCATGTATGCAGTAAAAAATCGTAGAAAAGTATATATTCCGCTAGCACAATAACAACATTACATCTGTATGATTACTCGTATAATAAAAAGTACTTAAAAGTAGTAATCGTAGCACACTTCTAAGGGAACTTTCGCTAACACAGTAAATAACAGTACACAGTTCAGCTGTATGCAATACAACCAACTTGACTTCTTTCTTCCTACATTGTACTTGCATCAAATACATCGATGTATGCGTGTATATAGTATATGTATGTATGCGTGCGTAGGCTGTGTAGGTAATTCGTTGACGCACACATATGCATTTTTATTGAAATCTCTTACAAAAAACAACTCTGTGATTTTTTGTGTATGTGTGTATGTACGAGTATATATGTATGTGTGTGTGTGTGTATGTTGGTAATATAAAAATGTGTTGTATTTACTAATGCTAATTATATGTTGTAGATGTGTATTAGCCAGTTTAAACAAATGCTGTTCCTTTGATTAATTCATATTGTTTTTGCTTTTGTTTTTGCTTTTACGCCATTACTGGTACTGTTATGTTGTAAATTAAGCTTACACACACACTGACTCTGCTGTGCTTGTTGCTGCTGTAGTTGTTGTTGTGATTTTGTTTTAATTGTTGATTTACAATCATAATTATTATGGACTTGTTATTGTATTATTTTAAATTTTATTAATTTTTTTATTATTTATACTCTTTATGGTATTTTCAATGTTGTTTTGATGCACTTTTATTTGTTGTTGTGGTATTTTATTTACTTTTTTTTTTACTTTTTTCTTGTAATAAATTTGGTTGAAATGAATTTCTCACCTGGTAAATTTTGTAGCGGCTTGGCGTGCTGGGTGCCACGAGCGTTGGGACGCATTTGTCCCACCCCACGGACCCCCCCGGTTGCTGCCTGAGCCCCCTGAGCGGTGGCCCCCCGCTGAACTGCCACCGCCGCCGCCGCCACCACCGCCGCCGCCGCTTGAGGGGCCCCCTGACGGCTGATGTTGCCACGGAGCCCAACGGCTCGGCCACGCGTGGCCGTGATTCCACGTCCACGACCAACCCCCTGTTGTTATTGTTGTTGTTATAGTTGTGATTTGTTGTTGGTGATGTTGTTGTTGTATTTGTCGTTGTTTTTGTTGTAGTGGTTATCAATTGTTACAGTTAGGTGTATTTATATATATATATAAATATATGTGTGTGTGAGTAGCGTATGTTTGTGTGTTCATATGTAGGTGTGTGTAGAAGTTGGTTATTTGGTATTTGGGTTTGCACAAATTTCGTAAGTTTCAATAGAGTTATATCGAATTCGTTGGTTGATTGGTCGGTTGTTTGGTAGTTCAGTTGGTTGGTTGGTTTTTGGACGAGATTAGTTTGCGTTATTTCCGCATTGTTGTCGGCATGTGCAGAGCGCCGTTGTCAATTCGTTCGCACAAACATTATGCATAAATGTATAATACATTATGTACACAATATATATGTACGTGTTGTTTATTTATAAATTCATATACATGAATCGCCAAAGGTGGTAGCCAAATTTAACAATACAATTAATGGTTTTTGTTTTAGACAATAATGCAATGGGAGTATAGTAACGGTATACGATTTTAGTAAAATAGGTTTTCGATAAACATACGATTTTTGATATCCGGTGTATGGTTCAAATTGAAATTTTTTGTATTTTTTTGGAGGGGTTTTCGTAATTTTTTCCGGCACATATTTGAATTCGGTTCAATGTTAAAAAAATAGAATTCATTCATTTAGTAAGTTTGGAAAAAGATAGTATATAAAATAGGTTTTTGATTTTTTTTGGTTTTTGGTTGCGAAAAATAACAGGTGATTTCGAAATGGTTTCATTTTAGAACAAATGGTTGTGGTTGCAGTTTTGAAATTTCGCAGTTGTTGTGAGAGCATTTTCATTCAGATTTGTTGTTGTGAATTGGTAAGTTTTGTTTTGTATTTGGTATTTGTGATTTGACGAACATATATATATAATTTTTTTAAGATGATATATTTGGTATTTACCGAAACATAAAAAAGGAAAAGAAAGAAAAGAAAAAATCGAAATTAACGCGTTAGATTTTCATGTTTAAAAATCAATTAATATGAATAATTATAATAAAAATTAATGTCTTCATAAAAAACTTGTGAAAAGTATAAAAGCTTAAACTTAATAATTCCAAATTCAAAGCGACACAATTTGTACTTGGAAAAAATTGTTATATGTAATGTAAAAGTCTCTAAATGTAGTATTGCCAGATATTTATATAAATTTTCACTTTTTGTTTCTTTTTGCACACTATATAACTGTATAATTTCATTTAAATTTCGTAGACTTTTTGTACTAGTGACGTTTAAGTCAGTAGAACACTAACAAAATATGAAATACTTAAGTATATATACATATATATAGGCATAAGAATATATAACATATATTTGAAATAAATGTCTGTATGTATGTAGTATATGCATGAATAGAACTTACGTAAAACATAATTTCCCCATTTTTTGTACTTTTTGCACGCCTGCATTTAACTTGCACACGTATGTATGTTGTTAATACGGTACCCGGTTAAATGCAGGCTTTATAAAAATCAATAATTCTTTGCTTTAATTTAGATATGTATGAAGAATTATATTTTATGTTTTGATCAAAACAAATTTCGAGTTTGCGATTGACACATTTGGTTTTTCAAATCTAAATTCAAATTAGATTAAATTTTATAAAATTCTGAATTGTAAAATTCGAAAAAAATAAAATATTTTGGTATAAAATATTTAAGCGATTTACGAGGCCATATTACATACAAAATTTGTTTTTTTTTTTTTTTTTTTTTTATTTTTTTCTTATTTTTTTTTTTTTTTTTAACTTATACCAATATTATTGTCGATTTTTAAATGAAATAAATAAGCTTAAGGTTAGTTTGCTTAGGTTAGTAGGTATAAGGCAGTGAGCACTTATCTAATATAATAAATAATAAAATTAATTAACAAAAAGCATATAAAGCAAATTTAAAAAATAAAAACATATTTGGTTTCTCTCTGTGAGCTGTAAAACTTGAATATCGAGTGGAGAACGTGACATTGTGACAAAAAGCACGATCGAGAGATCTTTAAAGGCATGTACCCCGTAAATAGGTCATTCTGGACATGCGTGGTCGTGCAAAATTTTGATCTCACATCCATGGAGAGCATTATAACTGCCGATGAGACATGGATTTGTGAGTAAAAGTGTCAAATGTAGATGAAGCTATATAATGCTTTATAGTAAGTTAAGTAATAATTTTAGAAAATTTCAAATCCAGATCGACAATAAATGATTTTTCACAATTAAAAAATAAAAGTGTAATAAATATTATTTTGCGATGAAAATTTAAGAATAAGTTGAATACAAAATTTTATTTTGCGATGGAAAAAAAAAAGTTTAACAAATGTTATTTTGTGATGAAATTTTAATTTAGAAACCCATTTTTTAATTTTATGTATTAGGTAGTTTTCAAAAAATTAAATTTCCAAAAAGCTTGTTTGTGAAAAATTTAAATTTATTGACTCAGGGATCTTAGAAAATGTTATCTATAAATTGGAAATAGGAGCAGTTTAATGATTGACTAGAGATTTGGATAATCGAAAAATGTAGTATTTTAATTCCATATTCATTGGTCAAAAACATTTTCAGTGTATATTTAAAAACAAACCAAGAAATATTCATAGATTTAACAAAAAGTTACACTTTAGTATTCCTGGAATAATTAAGAAATTGCTATCTTAAAAATTAGGAGGCTTTTGATCTGGAGTCAAAATGAAATTCATATATTTTCCGACCCAGGAGACCTACGAAAACATTAGGCTTAGAATCTCAGGAAAAAAACTTTCATTAAAGACTTTGTTAAGCCTTAGCAAAAAATTTCTTAAGAAATAACTTGAAATTATATTCTTTTTGGCCGTGTAAAATGGAGTCTTAGGCAAGTAATAAACAAGTTTTTTATAATTTAAATTTCCACTTAAGATTTCCCCACTCAATATTAAAATTTTACAAAATACAAATTTTTAATAGCACACTTCATTCAGCTCAATTATTTTAAATAAAGCTTAGGAAACTTAAAAAAAATTAAATTTACTTTGCTTAATTGTGCTATAATTGTTGGCAATGCTTGTAAATTTAAAAAAATAGTCTAATATTTAATATTGGTTTTCTATAATTTATATATGTGCATGTATAATTTCGTTACTATTTGTACCAAAGCCAACAACGTAACAACTAAGCATAGAAATATCATGTGAGTAAATCAATGAAGCAAATTAGCATTAAATAGAAACAGCCTTCTAAATTAAATTAATGAACAGAAATAAGCGATTTAAGTAAAAATGAAAAAAAAAAATATATAAATATTTAGTAAAAGCATGTGCAAATGAAAAGTGTTGAATTGATTTGTTGTAGTTAAGAAAATGCAATGAGGATTTGAACGAAAAATGTAAAAAAAGTATATTTAGTTTTTGCTAGTATCGGATGAATTTGTATCTAGGTATGGCAGTTTCTTTACGTTTCTTACTTAGCTAAATGCGGGTGGGTGTACATAACGGTTAACACTCACAGGACGGTTACGGCAAATGTTTTTGTACTTATGTAGCTATTATAAGGATTTAGATAAGAACTAATACTAGAGTTAGGGTTTAGAGAAAAAGTATCCCTGAAAGCATGAGTGAGGCCAAAATTTTGATGTCTGGTAGCGGCGATTTTGAAATTTGTGATCTTGTCTTCACATTGTCGTTGCAGTTGTTGTACACAGTGTTGATTATGATAAGCATGTGTGCGTGTAAGATAATGTCTTTATTTCTATCCTTTTGTGTGTACTTTGACTTTTAGTTTTAAATTTTGTCCAAAATGAAAATTTGCATATTCCAAAAATCAACAAAGCATATATATAAATAAATATAAAAAAGCATGAAAAGAAAAAATCAAAAAATATTAAATTTTGTTCAAATAAAAGCAAAAGTTGTTTAAATTTCAAAATACTACGAGCGCATCTACAACAATTTCGAAAAGAAAGATAAATAAATTGTTCACCACTAATTTTATACATGAATATTCAGATATTTCACGTTTGGTTTGAACTTCAAAACACGCTTGAAAATAAATGTATGCAAAATGTGAATTTCGAAATGCCAAACTTTTCCAAATACATATTTTTTCAAGTGTAAGCCAATCTGCGTTTATGGCAGGTTTTGGAGCTGCGGGAATTGTATAGTGGAGGGGGGTGGTGTTGTATGATAATAGTGGGAACGGTATGTATTAATAGTAGTAAGTAGTAGTAGTAGTAGTAGTAAGTAGTAGTAGAAGAATGTAAGACCCACCACATTATTTCTGGCCGTTCTCTGCAGTCCACCAGCGGGTCCACCAGTTGGCAATGGTGTCACACCGCTCGGTGGATAATCAAAGAAGTACTCTCCATCATAGGTGCGATAAAAATCGTCATAATAGGATTCATTGTAGCCGCCACGATAATCCGAATAACCATAAAAGTCGTAATCATAATCTATAAATTGGGAAAAATTTTGCTGTGGTATTCTTTTCGTGCTTCTTTCAACTTTTTCTTCTAAAAATTATTAAGAAATGTTGACCAAATGTTCGAAAATTACAAAACAACAAATTAGATTAAACAAAAATATTAACTTTTCATTTAAATTTTCAACAATTTAGAAGATGTAAATTATTTCTAATAATTTTGCTTACCATATCTACATACATTTGCATGTACATATGTATAAATATTGTGGGTAATGCAGCTTAATTCTATAGCGTTAGCCTCTCTATATGCCACAACAAGTTAAAAATAAAAAATAATCGTTTATTATATAAATAAATTTTGAAATTTTGTCTATCTTTTAAGAGTTACATTTCTTTCTTTTATATTATTAGTATGTACCAAGGATGACTTAATTTTTTCTCGTAATATTCGTGGGTATTATGTGAGTTTTGAAAATACAATTTTTAAGTTTTTTCACAATTTTATTTCATTAAAATTTATGGGGCTTAAATTTTATTTGTTGGATTTATTTTATTTTTTTTTTTGAATAAAAAATTTATAGTATTTTTCTTGTTTTGGCATACAAGCAAGTTTACTTGTCAGCAATTGTAATTACCAGAAATTTGTAGGCGTGTTCTTTTTACACGGTTTCTCCAATCTACTGTATACAAAACGGAACTAATTGTATTTGGGTGACTTCTGAGCTTTTTTGTTTTTGCTTGAAAAATCGTACAACTTTCTGTGCTAAGGTTCTTTTCTCAAAATGAGTTGGCTTTGCAGTTTATGTTAGCTTCGTAAACTATATTCCAAGACAGTTTTTTCTATTCCTTTCATAAGATCTGGTAAAATTGTGGAACTAACGGATTTTTCAATTTGCCAGAAAGTAAAACTTATTACTATACCGATATTAATATAGCAATCCACAATTTTTTTTTGTCAAACGTAGATTAAACAAAAATAGGTATTTGTATTTTTTACCTAGTACTCATAACTTCGAAACATTTGCAGTCAAAAGTCTTAATTAGATCTCTGCTGGTACCTCTTCTTCACTAAACAAAAAAATGTCCTTACAACCTCAAATATGTTATGATACCTAATACAATATACAGCAGAAAGGGCACGCTACAAAATTTTGCTTTATTACCACTTTAACGCAAACTTAATTTTTTATTTAGAAATTAAAATAAAGACTATAACTACTAAGAATTTTATAGAAAATTATAATTACTCAAAACTAAAATCAAAGCTATAGTTCGCTATGGCTACAAAAAAATAAGTGTGTGTACTGAACGGTGTGAGAGAGTAGTCTTCATATTTTATGGCCGAGCATAGCGTACGGTATGTTATGCATAGGTTACAGGGTGTTGGTCAAGACGTTTACAACCGATTGCAGACAGACCTCGCTGTGTTTGCTCAGGAACGCTTTTCACATACAAAATTTTTATTTGGAAGCAAAGTTTTTTTTGGGTTGTGGAGCGCAAAGGGTACAAATGGGGGTCATATTAAATTTGCGTGTTAGGGATTTATTAATTGCTGCAATTTTTGCTAATTTTTGGTAACTTAGTTATAACATATGATAATATTGTTGTGGGTTTTTTGTTTTTATTCCATTTTTTTACAGTTTTTAGAAATTTTTTGCTATTTTTTTAAATGAAATTTTATAAATTTTTTTTTTTAATTAATTAATTTTTTTTCATTTTTGAAATTTTGTTTTTCGCTTCTTGTGAATCGTTTCGGCTTGCTTGACTAAGCGTACACGCTAGTGCTAGTTTATCGTACTGCATGTGCTATTACTTACCGCTGTTATAACGTCATATAGTATACAGGGTGCTTAAAAGTCGGTAAACGTTGTGGCATTTGCAACATTTAAGATAGTAAAAAAGAAATTTATCACTAATATTACTAAACATTGAAGTCAAAAAATATTTAGTTGCTATTATTTTTTAGTTTTAAAATTTCAATTTAAATTGCATAAAACATTTACAAAAAACTGGTTATAAATTTTTTAGTATACTGTTTTATAAAAAAATGGAATAAAAACAAATTTATGCAAAAGGTTACAACAAACAGTAGTAGTTATAGTAAATAACAACAAGAACATGCAGTTTCTTTAAACGGAACACAAATTAGTACACACATAGAAGATGAGAAAAAACAACAATAAACCAACATTTATTATATAATTACTGATTAATTTAGAAAATTTCTGAGAAACTATGAAAATGTGATGGAAAAAGTGCAACATTAATTTTGATTATACAAATTATGCAATAGTACTAATGATTTCTTGGACACGCTTTAACACACACCGATAACAAAAACATCTCAATTGCTTATAATTTTTTTTAAATTTAATTATAATAATTATTTAATGAAAATTTAATGTGAAAAATTAATGTGAAAATTTGAAATGAAAATAATGGGTAAAAATGCATGATTTTTTATGGGTTAAAAGCTATTTGCAAAAGCTGGTTATAAAATCAACGGTGAGTGAGAAATGGTTGGGGATTAGACAAACGAAACAAACTACGCAAAACGGATATTGGGAGGGATATGTATATCATTGTTAGTAGTAACTTAAAAAGATTTTTTTTTGTTTTTGGAGTCAACTAAAGTATAAGATAAAAAAATTTGAAAACTGTATATAAAAACTATTAGTTGTAAATTAGTTTAGACTAATTCTGAATGTAGAATTTATTTTAGCTTTACACCCATTGCTTCAAGGGGTATGCAGTTACAGTCACAATAGTGATATGATACTTCATACGGTTTATAAGTAGCTAATTTGCCTAGCATAATACGGTACTTTATTATATAAAGGTTGATTACTAAGTTTTTTTACCAAAAAATTTACAACTGCTTTTTACGCTTGTTTTATTTAGTTAAAAAGGGTCGTTTTCCAATATTTAAATGGGTAGTTATGTAGTATATACAATACAATATTGCGCATGTCAACTGCAAAACTAACTTGACGCCGCTTAGCGTGCTCTTTAATGCTTTTATGCCAAGTGTCTTTTGACATTTTTGTTTTCTCAAATTTTGTTTGTAATTTAATGTAAAATACATTGTATTTGTATATGTAATATAAACCATCCAAAAAAGTACATATGTAGTTATGTATATATATATATATATAAATATATGTATGTATGTATTTAGTTGATACGTATTAAAGCTAATTTAAGTGAGTGTTAATTATTTGTAAAAAAACGCTATATGACTTACCGTAATCACGTGGTATTGGTGCGCGTAGCGGTATTCGTGGGCCACCAGGTAAGCGCATTGGCGCTGCTAATGACATCATATTGGGATGTGTGGGCGATAAGTTTCTGTATGGAGATAATTGTTCATAGCTAGTATGAGTTACAAATTGACATGGGCACAGAGACACACACACAGACACAAACACAGGGGGCAACAATGGGCGACGGTTGCCAATGTAACAGAGGTGAGTTGCATTAAATGCGTTTATGTTTTTTTTTTGGTTTTGATTTTTTTTTATATTTTTATTATGTTTATTATTAGTGTTTTTTGTTTCATTTGCATTGTTGTTGTATTTTTAATTTATGTTTAAGTTTTTTTTTGTTGTTTGTCACATGTTTGTTGTGAATAAGTACACAAATTGAGCGTTTGTTTGAATGATTAATTGAGTGCGTGCAGAAAGAGAGAGAGGGGGAGAGAGAAAGAGAGAGAATATAAAATTAATTAAAAAATTGTAAATTGCATTTAAAAGGAGTTACGAGCTCAAACGGTTAGGGGCAATTCACACACACACACACACACGAAGTGGTGGTGGTGAACTTCGTTTTTTATAAACCGAAACTGCTGCGTTGAAATAAGCAGCACAAAAGCCGATGCACATGGGGTAATTTGTTATTGTAAGTATTCAAAATAAGTCGGTTAGTAGTATTTTTGAATTTTGACACGCCAATAGCGGGGTGGTATTAGTGTTTAAATAATTTTTTATTTTTAAATTTGTTTTTATGCTAATTTATTGTCGCGACAGCACTTACCCAACGAGACCGGGACGTCCTTGCATCATTTGCATCATGCGACGTTCACGTGCACGTAGGATTTCCTCCTTCTTCTTCTTGTCCGATGGTGGTTTGGCAAGTGAGACCTGCAAATTTTCAAAATGCTGACATATAAAAATTGTCCAACAGAAAAAGTTGTGTTGTGTGTTTGTGTACCTCAATATTAGAAGAGCCAATCTCTTTGCCGTTAAGGCCGCGCATTGCAATAACAGCGCTATCGCGATCCTCGAAATGCACGAAAGCGTAGTCTTTGATTTTCTTAACGCGCTCAACTTTACCATATTGCTCAAATTGCTCCTGTAATTAGAGAAAGTTTGGTATATAACGATTGCTTATATAAATTGGTAATGCTAACATTAATATTACCTTTAGTTTTTCCTCGCTAACGTCTTGCGTTAGATTCCTCACGTACAAGACCTTCACCTTTGACATTGTTTGCTCGTCTGGTTCCTCTTGCGGATCAGCCCAATCGACAATGATATCACATCCCCAGACCTGAGTGGATAAAATTAGTAGTGTTGTTAAATAATTTATAAAAAATTAATATTTTTAATTATAAAAATTTTTTAATTTATTAATTTTTTTTAATTCTAATATACATTTTTAATTTTATACAGTTTTTTAATTTAAATATCTATTTTTAATTGTATATCTACATTTTTTAATTTTAATTTTATAATATTTTTATTATTTCAACAGTGTTTAAGGGCAATTTTAGTATCAAGCTTTATCCTTAATATGAACTTTTTTTGTGTTTTGTTTCCGTTTTGTTAGTGCTACCACTTACATCTTGTTGTCTTTGCTTTGATATTTAATTATTTGTAATAAATTTAATTACTTATAATTACACTCATTACTTATACTTACAATCATAATCGTTCACTTACCTTGATTCGGCCAGTGCCAAGTCTTCGTTTTGCCAGCGAGGCGGCTTTGTGTGACTCATATTCGAGGAAGCAGAATCCGCGATTTTTCTTCTTATCATCGGGTGAACTGTAGATGATCACTTCAATAAGGCCAGCTAAATGTGTGCGTGTGTGTGCGCATAACAATAATAAACATTTGAACAAAAACAAAAAAATGCATGCACTCATTAGTAAAATTGGTAGTAATTACTAAGTAAATTCAAGAAAATTTAAGGGTAATTCGTGGAAATTTATTAAAAAATACAACAAATAATTATGATTATAACATATGGAGCGGATAATAGCAATAACGGGAGTAGCTCTTAATGTTACTCCTATAATACACTCTCGAATTGCTTTTCCTACTCAATTTCGCATGAATTGTTTACCGAAGGGGTAAAAGGAAGAAGCATCGAAAATTGCAAAATTTCACATCACAAGCATTAGGAGGGGGCGTTGTTATGCAAAATAGTGAATTTTCTCGCATTTCATTTTGGTTTAATTTATGTATATAGACAAAAATCAATAAATTGCACATACAGAGATAATACATTTAAGAATGTGCGAAATGCTTAAAATAATTATTTATAAACGAGTATATATGTATATATAAATATATATATATCTTTTTTTTTAAATTTTTCTTCGTTTGCGAATAATATATTTATTTCATTCGTTTTTTAACGTGTGAAAAACCAATGCCAAAATTTGTTTGCTTAACTTTTTCAAGACTTAATCTTTCATATTACCTTAGGTCAGTAGTAATTTTTATGTTTCAAAACCTAAGCGCAAATTAAATCAAATTTCACAAATGCACATCTAATGAAAAATAATGCCGTATGATATTGCTTAAAAAATTGTACATATATACTACAGACATTTTATTTTTGCCTTCTTAAATATTGTATATAATATAACCGTATACATAACGAAATTTATTTAGTTGTGTGTTTGTGTACATAACCAAGTTGAATTTTCGTTTAAAACTAGAGACACCAAGTGAAACCATAGTATTCAAAGAAAACATTTATTGATAATACCGTATAATAAATATGTAGGTACTGATGTATGTATGTATATGTACCTAATGTAGTAGATAAAAAAACACAGATGAGTCATATGTGATTTATAAGTACGAATATGCTTCTTATGCATTTAATAAGTTGGAGTATATATAATATATATAAATATTGTATACAAATGGAAACACATTGAGGCATAAACGCAAAAAAATTATAATTTTCGAATATTAACTTCAAGTATTTGTAAGCTTTAAATGCAGAAATATTTGTAGGTAAATTATTATTTTTTAGTTATTGTTATTTAATAGCAAAATTTTTGGTTGAAAGTTTAATGGAATATGAAAAAAATATTTATACTTTTAATTTTCCAGGTTTATTGTGATTTAATATCAAAATATTTTATTAAAATTTGAGGAAATGTAAACAGAATACTTTTTGTTATTTAATTTTTCTGATTTCCAAATTTTAATTTTTTTATTTAGCGTGAAATAAATAAAAATTATTTTATATAACCAAAACTGTTCTCAAAAAAATTATATTCCTAGCATTTAAAGTACTATTTACTTGAAATTAATTTCAATAAAATTACTAAAAATTTTATTTCAGAATTGTATGCGCACTTTAACATTAAAGCGAATTTCGATTGCCAATTGTTTTCGTTTTATTTTACAAAAAAGAGCACTTATGCTCAAAAGGGCAGCTATAATTTTATTTTTGTTTGAAATATTTTCAACATATTTAAAGAACAGAAAATACTTTTTATATAATATTATTTTATTTTCTGTGGTCTCACAATTTGATATCAAATGTTCAATACGAATAATGTACAGAGGTTTGTTTGAGAGCTACTAATCGTCTGGTTGTTTGTGGACAAGGAGTTCACTCGGGATTTTATGGGTTAAACAAATCGCTTTTTATATAGTATTAAATAGTATTTCTCCAGTCATTACCATGTGTTTTTTGACATAATTCACTCGAAATTAACAAATGTGCTCAATGGACCGAATATTAGGCACTCTTTACTCATATTTTATTTGAATAAATTATTTATCTCAATAAATTAATGTTCAGTTAATATTTTTTATCATTCTTATTGTTGTTGTTGTTGTATTTACTACAAGTATGTGACAATTGAAATGCGAAGCTGGCAATCCTTGATGTACTAATTATGTAACTAATTAGCATTAACGCTTTTGAGCTCCATTGTTTTAAACTGCTTTTCATGAATACACGAATGATGTAAAGTAACGCATAACAAAATTAAAGTAGGGAAGAAAGACACAAAGACACAGAGGTATTGAGATAGAGAGAGAGATAGCGTTGTAACTAATAGTAGGAAATGTGAAACAAAAATATAGCTTCATGTGTCGCTGGGTAATTTTATAGCTGTAGCTACACAATTATAATTTTTTTTTTTTTACAAATTTTTTATTAATAAATATAAATATATGCCTAAAAGA